CAATTATTCCGGTGACCATTTTGGTCACAGATTTACAATTTAAGGTCACAGTTCAAAAATTTTATAGGTCACATTAATTAGTTGGTCACAGATCAAAGTTTATTGGTCACACAGTCACAAATTTCCAAATTAATTGATCACAGATTTCCAAATTATAGGTCACATTTTATTTTATTGGTCACAAATAAAAAAATTGCAGGTCACGATTTATATATTGGTCACATGTTTTCAGATTTGTTGGTCACAAATTATTTTTCAAGTCACAGGTTATCAAATTTTAGAGTCACAGGTTAATACTTGGTCACATGTAACCAAGTAATTGGTCACATATACCAAATAGTGGTCACACAACCAAAACACAGCACCACCATCGCACCGCAGCACCGCCACCGCACTGTACACCTCCATTGTACCACGCACAGTGCCACTCATTAAATTTGTGCCTCGCCGGAACATTAAAAATCACCACCCGACTGCACAGTACACAGCCCCACTATTCAACTAGCGAACCACACCAAATCGACCATCACAAATCACACACAACTCCACAGATCTGTGTGAAGAAATCAAATTAAGAAAAAAAATTGATTCGCTCCACCTCTGTCGTGAACCAGCGCCACCACCCCTTCTCCTACTTGATCTGTAGCGCCGGTGATGACGGGTGCTTGTGGCGTAGTGTCGGCCGGAGCAGCTCCATCGCCGGCGTTTGAATGGGTAGCGGCGTTCGAAAAGACTGAGAGAAAGGAGAGGGACATGAAGTAAGAGAGAAAGGAGAGGTCGAGAAAAGAGGGAAATGAAAATAATTAGGGTTGGAACTTGGAAGAAATGGGAGGAGATTGGGCGTGGTAGTTCCGGTCATGGGTAGAGAGAGGGGATAAAGTGAGAAGAAAAAGAGAGAGAGAGAATAGGTATAAAAATAAATTAGGGTTTGAGAGTTACCTGATTTTTGATTAAATATAATTCATACCTGATTTTCGCACGGTAAACTTGAAATGTCTGGAAACATGTAATTTCCTCTTTTGTTAAAGTGACTATAATCATTAAATATTCTTTTCATGAAATTCATGAAATGTTAATACCTTATCGTCAAATTAGATATTTTATTTAATGCATGTTTGACCAAGCTCATGTTTAAGCCACATTCTCATTCTTCTACTCATTTTCAACCACACATTTTCAATAGAATAATATTTTTCATCACATCAATAATTTTTTCTTTTTTTTTTCAACCACACATTCACCGTCACATCGCAAAAAAAAATGCATTCTCTCTTCAAAAATGTGTATCGAATACACGCTAAATTAACTCATGCTAATTAAGTAAATTTTATTACAGATAATTTGTATTGATCAAATCTAAAAATAAATTACTTATTTTAATAGTTAAAGATACTACATATTTTATTAAGCTTAAAAGTAATTAATTTTTTTTTAATTTCTACATGTGTTTCATATATACTTATTCTCGCTTATAAGAAAAAAAAGTACTTATTTTGATCATGAAAAAAGATGTTATGATTAAAATAAAGAACTTGCTCTGGGTTTGATATTGTCAATAAAAAAGATATTTGTTAAATTTTATTTATTTATAAATTAATCTATATATAAATATATTATTGAATCTAAGCCAAATGTGAATTAAATCTAATTTCTTTGGACCCTAGAATTTTTAGTTGATTTTTCTCATTTTGGATACAATTCCTCACTTACTATGGAATGTAGTGATATAGAAGATTGATGTCCACGCCAATAGTATTTTGAGACAATAATATATAGTGATATATTATTAATTGTATGTTTCGACAAAACTTTCAGTTGTCTAGAAAAATTGATTGTCAAAGTTACTTAGAACAATATTTATTCAGCCATGGTTTGGTTCGGATTAAAATCTGATTTTAATCCAAATCCAAATCCAAATTAAAGTCAAACAATCAATATTAACCACAATTTTATGAGTCCCACAACTTTTCAACCACACATTTCAAAAACTTCTATCACAATCTACTAAAAATCTAATTTTAATCCCCCACCAAATACCCTCTAAATAATTTCTTAGTTTTTCATTAGTAGTACTTATTTCGATCATGATTTGGTTGTTTATATTTGATAAAGTAAGCCTCGATTTTTTAGTTGATAAGAAAAGATAAAAAATATAGTGGGATATTTTCAGCATGAGACATCTAGACTTCTTTTATGTCATTGAGTGTTGTACACTCTTTATCGTGAATATCACGAGTTTAGCAATTTCTTGAAGTACTTTATTTTTTTAAAAAAAAATTTAAGTCAATTTTAACATCATTTTCTGACTTCGCTCCTACTTTGTTTCGTCTTGTAATTATCTTGTTTCAATCATAACACTTATTACAAGCTTAGATAGAAGATGGCATGTCCTTGGGTTCGAGGTGTGACTCTGGTGTCGGGCCAGCGTATACATTTTGATAGAACCTCGAAACCATGGTTGGATATCGGGCTCGCGAAGAAAGCACTAGTGGTCGAAAGACGTCAAGTACAAACATCCCTACCTACGACAGTAAATTTTAGTTCTTTTTCTCATTCTTCTACAATTTTACAATGTCAATTTTAACTGTAATTTTTTTTTTATTATTGTCTTGCGATAATTTCTGAAAATCTCAGTCACTTATTCTTATTGAGATATTTTTCTAGAGAAGGAGACAGTAGTTGTGAAGGGATATTTTACACGTGGCAGAATCTGATTGGTTTATTACATACAAAATGGATTCCCATCTATCCTTGCAATGTGGTTAATAATGCACGCATACTTGAGTGTGAAAACAAATTGAACCAACCATCTGAGGATCCTCACTGCAACATTCGAGGGGGTGTGCTAAAATTCATCTCAATCCCGTTGAATAAGAATGGCAGCCATTTCTGCTTTTACTCCGACCTTGTCCGTAATCCACCCGACGCTCCTACAGAATGGATCCTTGGCACGTCCTTACATTCTTGGTAAGATCTTGTCGCGCTCGTCACATATTTCTCTTCTTTAAATTTATAACTATATTGTTTCGATTGGCTCTTTTTTTTTTCTAGTGTGTTGCTCAAATTGTATAAACCTTCTTTGTGCCACACGATACGATACAAAAGATAAAAACCGAAACCGATGTGTTGTAAAATTTTGGATTTTGTTGTTCATATCTTCTAAAGTCGAAACATTCTAAACACTTCAATCACTCACCTCTTTTTGGTAATGCCTATGTCGCTTTGTCCAAGAATTTCGCTATTGCATTTTACGAAAAAGGGATTTTGCAATTTTCTCCGTTGGTAGCCATGACATGATTTTAACATTAAAGATGATGTCACATCACATTTTCATCCTCCACCTAGGAGGATATGATAAAAGAAAATTACGACCCTAATTGAGTGACCAAAGTGAAACTAAAAACAAACTTCAGTTACCAATTTGGAGTAAATAAACTTCGATGACTAACAAGAAACTTGGGTATAAGTTGAGTGATTAACAAGGTCTTTTACTCGATACAAAACTGGGTGCAGGGCTGCCACCAATGGCAAAGATGGGAAAAGTGAGATGTTCCATGGAGGGAAAACCTCAAGAGAGTGAGTCAAAATTGGGCATGGGTGCATCTTTGATTGCAGCCACTTGTGCTGCAGCCATGTCCAGNCCAGCCATGGCTCTAGTGGATGAAAGAATGAGCACAGAAGGAACTGGGTTGCCCTTTGGCTTAAGTAACAATCTTCTTGGTTGGATCATTTTTGGTGTCTTTGGCTTGATTTGGTCTTTCTACACCATCTACACTTCTGATCTTGAAGAGGATGAAGAGTCCGGGCTTTCTCTTTGAGCATTAAGACTCCGTGTGTATTCGTGTTCGGCTGTGTTCGACTGCGTTTATAGTTGTACTGATTCTGACTTTGCTGGTGGAACATCTGTAAAAAGGAATTTTCATTCTAAAATAATCAAGAATTATGTTGATTCTATACAAGTGAATTGTTGTTATTATTGTATGGTGTGTTTTTTCTAATTATTCATATTATGTTTGATATGTGTATTTGAAAGAAATAAATAATTTTAAGGCAACTTATTTTGATTCTAAATGCAAGTCGAGGTTAGATACCTTCATTATAATTAAAATATATATGGTGTACTTAATTATTTATCCATTCTTATTATTTAAAAAAAAGCCCTAGGAATACGGTCTTCCGTATTATACTTATTTAGCTCCCGTTTGATAATTATTATTTGAAAACATTTTTTTCTATATACTTATTTTCAGTCATATTCACACAATAAAATATTCTGCAAGTAAATTCAAATTTTTTCTTATTTTTTAACCACAAATTCTCTTAAAAAACACTATTCAAAATATTATTTTGATCAAATAATGACCATCATGTACATGGAGTTAAACGGTTTTTACCCATATAAAGAGTATTTTTTATTTTTTAAAAATGAGATATTTGAGAATGGTTTCTTTTAGGGTTGAATCTTATCTAGCCCATGTTTGGTAGAAATTAAAATCAAAATTTTAGTAGATTTTAATAAAAGTTGATGAAATGTGTGGTTAAAAAGTTGTGGATCCCACGAAATGCGTGGTCAAAATTAATTGTTGACTTTAACTTGAAAATTTAATTGAATTTTAATCCAAACCAAACTGTGGCTAATTTAGTATACATTGTACAATATACCAATGCTTAGTGGCTAATTTAAAAGTGGGACATTTTTCTTCTCAAGGTTTGGTGCATTAAAATTCTAGTAGCAATAACAACTATTTAAAAGTCGGGATTTGGTCGGCTCACATGTATTTAAACATCGGACTCGCTTGGTGTTAGCTTTGCCGAGGGAATATTTATGAAAATTGAAAATTCATTCTAAAGTAAGCGAGAACTATGTTCATCTATATCTTTCAATAGTTATTTCATTTGCACCTTTTTCTTTAATTATCCATGTCAAGATTGTTATGCTAGACTAAAAAATTGGATAAATTTCATTCTTCATAAATGTTCTTACATTTTAGTTCAATCAAATGATTTACTTCAATTTCGTTTAATTAGATAATAATATTGTTATGGGGCATACAAGTCAAATTTTTATAAAAAATTGCCATATATGCAAACCTTTCAATTTTTTATTTTGGCTATTTTTCAAAATGGGGT